AAATAATATAAGACTCCTTTTAAGCTTCCACTGGTTAAGAAAAGATGGGACATCTTCATAACCTGTCAGCAAAAGATGGGACATCTTTCTGACACAAGAGTTTTCACTTAAAAGTATTCTAGATATTATTCCAAAAACTATAGCACTATAGCTGCACCGCTTATACTCTAACTTAGCGCCTTGTAAAGAATGATATAAGACTCCTTTTAAGCTTCCACTGGTTAAGAAAAGATGGGGCATCTTCATAACCTGTCAGCAAAAGATGGGACATCTTTCTGACACAAGAGTTTTCACTAAAAATATTCTTGATATTATTCCAAAAACTATAGCACTAGCTGCTCAGCCTTACTCTAACTTAGCGTATTGTAAAGAATAATATAAGACTCCTTTTAAGCTTCCACTGGTTAAGAAAAGATGGGGCATCTTCATAACCTGTCAGCAAAAGATGGGACATCTTTCTGACACAAGAGTTTTCACTTAAAAGTTTTCTAGATATTATTCCAAAAACTATAGCACTATAGCTGCACCGCTTATACTCTAACTTAGCGCCTTGTAAAGAATGATATAAGACTCCTTTTAAGCTTCCACTGGTTAAGAAAAGATGGGACATCTTCATAACCTGTCAGCAAAAGATGGGACATCTTTCTGACACAAGAGTTTTCACTTAAAAGTATTCTAGATATTATTCCAAAAACTATAGCACTAGCTGCACCGCCTTATACCCTAACTTAGCGTGATGTAAAGAATAATATAAGACTCCTTTTAAGCTTCCACTGATTAAGAAAAGATGGGACATCTTCATAACCTGTCAGCAAAAGATGGGACATCTTTCTGACACAAGAGTTTTCACTAAAGTATTCTAGATATTATTCCAAACCTATAGCGCAAGCTGTACCGCCTTACTCTAACTTAGCGTGATGTAAAGAATAATATAAGACTGCTTTTAAGCTTCCACTGGTTAATAAAAGATGGGACATCTTCATAACCTGTCAGCAAAAGATGGGACATCTTTCTGACACAAGAGTTTTCACTAAAAGTATTCTAGATATTATTCCAAAACCTAGCGCTGTCAAAACATGCACCATGCACCGCTTTACTCTAACTTAGCGTGATGTAAAGAATAATATAAGACTCCTTTTAAGCTTCCACTGGTTAAGAAAAAATGGGACATCTTCATAACCTGTCAGCAAAAGATGGGACATCTTTCTGACACAAGAGTTTTCACTAAAAGTATTCTAGATATTATTCAAAAACCTAGAGCACAAGCTGCACCGCCTTACTCTAACTTAGCGTGATGTAAAGAATAATATAAGACTCTTTTAAGCTTCCACTGGTTAAGAAAAGATGGGACATCTTCATAACCTGCTAGCAAAAGATGGGACATCTTTCTGGCGCACGAGTTTCCACTATATATATATATAAATACTCATAATAACTCAGATAATATGTATGCGCTTATATAGTTATTTTGCATTCCGCACTGCGCTGTCATGCGAAGAACAAATGAATATAATATAAGGTTCTTTTATTATACCAGCCTGGTCCAGCCACTGTATATAATATATGTAAATAAATATTATTTGTCTTGTGCTGCCATGTAACAAAATATAGAAATGAGTATATTATAATGAATATATTACAATCAACTCGCGGTTGTGATAGCCCTTCTTGAAAGCCGTGGTACCCGGCGTATCTAACATACTGTATACTAAAGCAAATAATAACTGATTAAGTGGTGCGATACCTACAACTTTTTGACTATTATACCTAACTGATTACGCATCATTCTTTAATAAGCACCCATCAAAATATTGCCAGTTTGTTCGATCTTGATCTCCATACTGAATCCATACACACGATTGTCAAGCAGAATGCACTCTTTCTTCAGACCAGATTTTGGCGCAATTTGAACTTTGCGCGGCATTGTCTGCTAACATTATTATAAATTGGTGATGACAACCTGGTTTGTATGTTAGCTCAGTTAGTTATTTGCTACATCACATCTGTATGGGGTTAAATTTCATGCACGCATAAATTATTTCACTATAAATTCATTATACATGTCACCACTCTTACCACCTCGACTAATAATGCTGTGGTGACCAACACCTTCAAGCTAATTCAATTTATAGGCGTGCGGGTCCTCATGACTTAACCTGAAGTTCAGGCCCTAATTTTAAATAGGGCCTGACACAAAACCTGTCTAGACCGTGGGACGCTCACATGTTATTTTTAGACACAGCATGCAATATGATTGACAAGTGTTATAGATTTTGTTACACAAAAAAATTATATTCTCATGAACATGTCCGCAGAGTGTGCATTTTGCTTTTTAATTAAACTTAAAAATTCAAGGTACTTTTATATAATTAAAAGTCAGTTTCTCTATTTAACCGAACAGCAAACGAAGATTCAATTAGTCAGTTCTGTGTACAGCTTGACTGCCAAGCTTTCTCAAGGTCTCAACTTGCTGGACGCGGATATATACCAACGATATACTTTAACGGGCTAACAACAGCAACAATAAAATTCTCAATCGTACCACGAAGAAGGCGATGTAGCTCAGAAAACAACGCCGGTAGGCAGGGGCGGCGGAACAGATTTTGTTCTGGGGGGGCTAAATTTTTTCGGCGACCCCCCCCCCCCCCCCCCCCGTCGCCAAAAAAATTTCGGTCATTTTAATATACAAAAAAAGGGACGAAAAAAATTTTTCCGGACTTATATCAAAACATTTTTTCGGAAATACGCTTTTTTTAAACAAAATATTGCAAATTTGTCCCCTTATACCTAAATTTTCAAAAAATAACCTAAATTTTCCCTAATTTTCAAATTTTTATCGAAAAATTCAAATTTTCTGGGGGGGCTGAGCCCCCCCCCACTTTTACTTCTGGGGGGGCTTTAGCCCCCCTATCCCCCCCTGTTCCGCCGCCCCTGTAATGGATGAAATTATAAGTTATTAAATGTATGCAGTAAAAGTGCGCAATGCAAAACTGCGAATTACCTTAAGAGAAAAAAAATTACCTTCCGTTGTGCGCTGTCAATGATGGATAATTTTAAACATTCCAAAATGTGCCAGCATGTTACTTACAAGTAACTATGCAAAATACAAAAGTTATCAATGCCTCACGCTTTGCCTCTGTTGTTAGACCTAAGCTTCGGATTTACCTAGTCTAAGACTTGTTGTCGCAACGTTTCGGAAGTTGCTTCTTTTATCATCAGAAACAGCTTTTCAAACGTTGCAACAAGAAATTAATTCGGTTTAAAACTAGATAAATCCAAATATATTAATAACACTGAACCGATAAATAGAGATTCTATATTTCATGGATTAAAATTGCTGATGTAACAACTGAAACAAAGTTTCTCAAAAAAGTTTCTCAAAAAGTGTTGATTACAGATTTAGAGCCGGTTTAGAGAACGTCGGGAAAATGTTTTCGGAAATATGTTACGTTTTTTTACATTTAGGTGCAGAATTGTGTTGCAGTTTATAGTTTATAGTTTATAGTTTATAGATTCTTAATAGTATATATTGGCCTTCTACCTTCATGACTATTCAATCTTGTATTTCAAAATCGTTTGGGGGAGGAGGCATATCCCCAACACTGGAAACTCGTATGTTCGGTCCTTGCCTTGGAGGCCCTCGGAAACTTGTTTTGTTTTTGAGGCCTCCATTTTACGATGTTTTCTACGCCCTGGAATGATGTTACTGACTTACTGTGGCATCTAGTGTGACCAGGTTTGGTAAATATTTTATTTTCTGTAAAATTTCGTCAATTTTGGAAGAATTTGAGTAATGAGTTCTTTTAGTAAAATTTTGGTAAAATTTGTAGAAATTTTAACAATTCAGTAATGTTTTGCTAACCATTCTTGTTTTGAATGGTATCTTGTGTAAGAGAGATGCTAACAACATTTCTCTTTTGAAGGAACTTTTGAAACATATCTTAGTTAGTTCTTGAAGTATTTTCACTCGAAGTAATGAAGATCCGCCATCTTGGATAAATTTTTTATCTCATTAACGGTAGTTTTGGTGACGTCACAACAGGGATTAACCATATAAAGTATTCGTTGCTGACCAAATTGATTGGTAGATGTTTTAAAGGTTTTGAGTGCAAAATGATTAGTGGTTGTGTAGATAAAAATATTGCGTGACACGTGTTGTGACGTGACGTGACATGCATATATATGTACAAAAATTGAAGATGGCGGACATTTCATTCCTTTCGATCAAAATATTTGTAGAAGTAAACAAGATATGAAAAAAACGGTAAAAGAGTATTATATATAGTCTTAAACAGTTCTTTCAAATGAGAAAATAAAAAATATATTACCATTTCCCTTTAAAGAAATTCTCTAGCCTGCAAAATCCGCTAATTTCAAACATGGAATAGGAAATTGATGGTCTTTTAGGCCAACTTAGTCAACCTAGTTTCCTTGTCGAAGCCATGATTGCACTATTGTTTTTGACGAAAATATTTAGCTAGTACTAATCAAACTTCTAATGATATGTTGATCAACCTCACCCCCAGACTCTTCATGGTGTTGTGTATATTGTTACCACAGACGCTTATCAAACCGGGGAGGGAATGAAATAAATTTGATAAATTGTTTCTCGATTTAGTAAATTTTGAGCACAAAGTTTAGTAATAACAACTAGAAAATATGGTCGCACTTGTGACATCTCTATAAAACGGTGTTGGGGATTTCCGCCTGCAAGAATAAGTATTCCACAACAAGTCATAAAGAAGATTTAATATTTTGCATGAAATCACGTTTGTTGATGTATTATTTCACATATATTCCCGAATATCAAAAATTGCTTAGCCTACACATTTCCGGTGGCGTGATTTGTTACCTAACCTGTTGGCAATAAAGCCTACTGGGCATATGAGCCCCAATCCCGGACAACGGACATCCCCCTAATGCGAACACTTTCCTCGTTCCCTTCAGGGTTTGTATTAAATAGATTTGACGGATTATTTTCATACATTGCGTCAACTTACCCTTCTACAACAGCGGTGCTTCCTGGGCGTATGTTCCTCTTTCATATTCGTAATCCATTTCAGCTTATCATCCGGCTTCATCTCTGAGATACAGGAATTGAGTTTGAGTTGCTTTTGTACAGCGGCTGCCATCTCCTTGGAGTCTCCAGTCAACATAGCCAGATGCACGCCCATGTCTTGCAGCCATCTTACAGCCACATGAGACTCCTCGCGTATGACATCTGCCAAAGAGATCATTATTGCCAGTTTCTCGTCAACACAGACGAACACAACGGTTTTGCTCTCGGCGCAGAGTCGGTCGTATTCAGTCTCAAATTCAGGGGTTAGCTTCACGCCCAAGTTTTCCAGCATTTCCAGGTTGCCAATATCGACAAAGTGATACTCAACAACTCCACATATACCCCGGCCTTCCATTGTTCGAAAGTTGTTGACGTCAGGCAGTTGGATCTCTTCCACATCATTCACGAAATAAGCAGTATACTTTCCCGTGAACTCGGTCACAATGGCTGCCGCTAACGGATGGCTCGATTTGCTTCCCAAAGCAGCCGCCCAGCGCATCGCATCATTCTCTTCGTCTTTATTTGCTGACATAAGATCAATCACCTTAAGATAGACTATGCAAAGTCACCTTTCTGAACCAGACACACTGAAAACTTTCCGAACTTCGTTCATATTAATTAATCAACTCACATTCGAATAACCTATTTTAATTTAATTAAGGACCAAAATGGCAATGTAAGGCTAGTTTGTTCACGTTGTGAATTTCACAACTAACTTCTAGGCGTTCGTCACGAATATTTTAGGCAATATGATCAACTTCAAATTGTATTAGCCATTATGTGGAGAGAGTAATGATGCTAAATATTTACATGTTAGACGAAATCGAAGTTTCGACTCAGCATCCAAATGACGCGTTCTGCGCTGGAAAAAAATTGGAATTGAATCACAATAACCTGTAACCATGCAAAACTGGAAGAATTAGAATATGCATATCAAAGTACTGAGCTGTTCAACCATTATTTGTGTTTCATTTAGAGCCGCAATAGAATTGTAAATTAAATCGTTTTTGTACTAGCATATTTTGCCTATACTGTATAAAGTAGAATAAATTAGAAAGGTGCCCCTAAGGAAAATATTTTCTAATATATATATATATATATATATATATATATATATATATATATATATATATATATATATATATATATATATATATATATATATATATTCTGAAGGAAGCAACCTCGTTCCCAGGGCTTTTCCCTTTTTGTCACTGGGAAGGCGGGAAAAGGCCCTGGCACCGGCCGGTCTTCTATGTATTCTGATTGGTCAATGACAAGTACATTATTATGCAAATAATACAATCTTGGATTAATTTATTCAAACTTTGGAATAAATTAATATTTCATGCAAGGAGTGCATTATTAATACTTTGTCCGTCTAAGAAATATTTTTGGCAAAATCTTTGGCAAAATGGTTAAATTCGATAAGATTTATACACAATTTGTCGAAGGTTAGTATTATTGTTTGTTTTAAACTGTGAGAGAAGATTAATTGTGTAGTAGAACACACCTCTGAGGCTCTGACCGAGTATTTAGGGCAAAATGTGCCTTCATATTTGGCTTCGTATAGCGTTTTATAATGTTTATATTTATAAAACTAAAGTCTGGGTTATAAACTGAAACATGACCTTTAGTTTTTGATATTCTTCATAGTCGAGTTTAAATTGGCCTAATTTATAGTTAGTTACCACTAGAAATGCGACGATATTTTGTTAATATATCATATATGCAACAGTGTTTACAATTACTTTTGAATAATAAGTGATTTGGTTTTGTTTCAGATACTATTACATGTTGCTTCATTTTACCTAGGCCTCGGGCCACTAACAACGTCTGCGCAGGAGGCTACATTTTACCATAAATTGTATTAAAAAAGTGATTTGCTCATTTGGCTGATGTTACAGTTTTCTGATGTGTTTTGTTTGGATGATATTAGAACAATTTCAATATGAAAGTGCAGGTGTCTTTAGACATGAGCCATAATGTATATATCAAAATACTGATAAAAATACTGACATAATACTGATAAAATCCGTATCCAGCTTGATTGTATTTGCATTTGTTGTATTTGCATTGTTGCAGACAAAGTTGTGCAATGGTGGGCTTATGTCACATACCGTACTCATATGTAATTCCATGTGCCTGCATGTACAGTACTTTGATGCCTCAAGAGATGCTTCGAATGTGTAATAAAGGGCTGTTCGCAGGAGTTGGGTTGTCTGGCCTTAAATTGCATTGTTTTTATGATATTTTAAGATTGTATTCATATGGCTGGATCATGTATTCATATGCCATTGCCACAATGTCTGATGTTCAAACAGGCTTTAAAATCAGGTTACAATGCAATATTGAAAATATGCAACAATTTCACTGCTAATAATATTCCAGAAAATCCTGCCTCTTGGGCAGATCTGGACTGATTTGTCAGAGGGGGTTGGAGGTTTTCTACTTGTGATCGGGCAAGGGGCCGGGAGCTAGCCAAGGGTGGTGGGTCAGAGTCAAACTCACTCATGTGAACAGCTTCTAAGTCCTAATTATATTGATAAATTATGTACACTTTGGGATGGTAATGCAATTTGTAAAATATTCCACATTTTATTTAATAAAATTTAATTATATACATTGTTTTTGTTGTTTATATGTTACCTTGGACAGTGTATATTTACACCTTTGGACCCTGTAAATAAACACCTTTGGAGGGTGTGCCCATTCTAAGCCAAAGACGTTTAAGAACAATTGTCAAGCTATTTGCATGATAAAATATATTTAAAACTGCTCTCCATATACATGTAATGCATGGTTCAATTCTTGCTTTTACCAAGTAAACCCAGGGATTTTCAATGTCCCCCTCCCGTAGAATTCACTTGAAGTGACTGGGGCAAGGTAGCTATAAGTAGTTATATTAATTTAATTAAAGTCAATTAAAATTTACAAATTGAGCTTTTTGAATATAGACCATTGCAATTTTTTTTAAAATTTGTTTAACCCTTTATAGTGGCAATGTCCTTACTTTAGTATATTACTCCGTCTGGTGCCAGACAATTTTACTCAAGGACAGAATGTAGACTTGCCACAAGTCGACCTCGAACGAAACGTTGGCTCACACTCGCTGCTTGCGTTTTGTTCGAGGTCGACTTGTGGCAAGTCTAGGCAGAATGCTGCCACTCAATGAGTTAATATATTCTCAGAACAATTACCATCAAATTTAATCTATTTTGCTGGCAAAATTGCCTTGGAGGGGGTCCTTGATTTGTTGAGTCTTTTGTTGTAATATAGGTAATATAATTCTAAGACAAATCATCCAAAGGAAGCAATCATTCTAGCTCTTGTAGTGTATGTTGCAACAGGGATGGATTTACTGGGGGGGAGGGGAGCTGTGCACTCCCCTAGCCCTGGCCAGAGGGGGTGCTATTTTTCATGATAAAGCAAAAAATTATTACAGGCAAAATGAGATACAGTAATTTGAGTAATAACATGATGATAAGCAAGCTGTGAACAACAATTACAATTCAAATACAGTAGTAAAGCAAGACTTTGCAGTAGTGAAGCAAGTTGATGGGCGGGCGACACACATGACCGACACAACTCGGCACCAGAGCTGGCAGAGCACCCCCCCCCCCACCAGATCATGCTGGATCCATCCCTGTGTTGCAAAATGTATTTTCTTCATAGTCAGGCATTCACATGAATGAAGATTAGAATTGCATCATGTTATATAGTCTTAAATATTTAGGAGGGGTCTCCATTATTAAATTAAGAGATTAAAAAGGGGTTCCATGACATTTTGACATAAGAATCTCCCACCCCACCCTAGGGTATAATGAATGGTCACTTAAAGTAAATGCCATCTTCTAGCTGGTTGGACACCTTGCCCCTTTTGTGATGGAAAATCTATTCCCTACCTTTATCCCCTGGGACAAAAAATTCAAATCAACTCGTCCACCCTGATAATGTGCAGATGGTAACAGCAAGAATTGAAGCAAGCTATTATTAGTACATACTATTATTAGGAAGCATCAATTTGCACATGCTAATTTGCCAGTCATGATTTTAAACGTAATATTTCTTATCTTGTATAGAATTCTTAAGGTCTTGTTTACATTTTACTGTAAGCAAACTAAGATGCATATCCAATATTTGGGTCATATCACTCATATGTCAGTTTTGCAGCTTGCCAGCTTCAACAACATTTGGCTGCAAGGAAAACGTAAACAAGGAAAGAGCATATAACACTTCATCTGTGTTTAAAATATCAATGAATAAATATTCCAACCATTGGCACTTTCTAATATAAGTGACATTCAACAATAGATCAATAACATATACAGTATATGCAAAAACATTTCTTTGAATCACTATATAAAATATTCCTCATAAACTCGCTCCAGTCGTCGCACAGCGGAGTCTTTGGAAGGGTAAAACCAAGTTTAACATCCCCAGTTCAAAACACTTTCCGTGTCCTCTTAGGCAAGCCTGTCCAGATGGAGAACATCTTTCGTAATACTATTATATTTTGGCTGTTAATTTTGTTTAGCGAACGGACGATATTTACCAAACCCAGTTGGAAGAACAGCAACTACATAGTTCCCACGTAATAAAAGCAGAAGAATCTGATTTCTAGTACGTCGGTAGCAAAAAGAAGGAAAAATTTCAAAGACTAAACGCATTTTTAAGCCGCTCTAAGCACTTAAATTTTGTGGACACTCTTAGGTTGGCGGCCATCTTGGATTTTCTAATTATTATTATTATAATTTATTACACCCACTATATCTGGGTGTTGAAAGTCATGTGACCGGCCGGTGCCAGGGCCTTTTCCCGCCTTCCCAGTGACAAAAAGGGAAAAGCCCTGGGAACGAGGTTGGTGTTAAGACATTATTAAATGTTGTAAACGACCATGTGGACAATGGGATATTTCCGGCTGTAAGAAGCGCCGATAAATTCATAGCCTAAAAGCGCATTGCTTGCCTTTAGAATGAACACTAAATAGTTTATCGCCTTGATGGATATTAGCAGAAAGAAATGAAGACATACTTACCTGGTTTCTTCGGGAAGTGTTCGTATATTTTTCTGTATGAAGTCAGATTTAAGTCAGATCCAGAATAAAGAGCTTCCAAAAAGCACGCAATCTCGCACGCAATTCAAGATTTTTCTCGCACTCCCCCGGCCGTGTCCCCCCCCCCTGAATTACGACATTTTACGGACAAACGCGAGATCAAAGTCTCGACAATACATAGATCGGCGGGAAAGACTGGGTCGAATGAACTCTGGAGAACCCATCATCCGCCCTCATGCCACAGATGAAGTATATACCAGATGTGTAACTTAATAGGACTCCGTGTCTTCAAATTTCCCTACAATCAGGAGCAAAAATAATGAGACTGTTCACGTTTTTGGCCAGTTGCAAGTACGTCGGCCTCCCCCCTCCCCCCATGATCAATGTTGGAAAAAGCGGATTGAATTTTCTCTTTTCAGTCATCCACACAACATTGAATTGGGGGTGCGGGGGGCATTTATGCGTTTGTCTCAATAATTTTTGCTCCTGATTGTCTCTATATGTACTTTTCGTTCATGTTCATTCAACTTATTGCTCCAGGAAAGACGCTGACTTGGATTTCTTGCTTAATGAACCTTTTGCTATATGATATTTTTTCTCAGTGGTTTTCTATAATTGAGTACTTCATGTAAAAAATATAGGTGATCTTCAGAACTATAGCTATTTTTTTGTTTCGAAAGGACGATTAATTGACGAATATATACATGGAAGAAGATTATAAAATAATCTTCAGACAATTTTTCCCCATGGCTGACAATCATGAGTATATTTTTTCTCTCAAACAGAACATTTCTTTTAAGTTTAAGAATTTTATAACAGACAACGCCTCGTTCAGACCTATTTTGGAAAAACTTCAGTGATTTTCCTACTTTTAGCTGAATTGTTGCGTGAGATTGACATACTCACTAAATTTTAAACCCAATTCAAGCTTTTTATTTATCTTGATAAACGGACTTACCGATCGTAAACTTGCATTAGAATGTATTGCAAACTTCCATCTCCCATGATTTTGGGATTATGTGTGATAAGTTCAAGCAAATTTGGTCGCACATGCGCAAAATCTTAATCTATTTTTACGTACTGAATATAGACACGTTACACACACGTTACACCACATGTTACACCACACGTTACATAATAATTTGTAGTAAAACATATAGAGATATGACACGTTACACACGTTACACCCATTGTTTTTAAATATATATATATATATATTTATTTTTTAAAAAAATGGGTGTAACGTGTGTAACGTGTCATATTTCTATATATTTACTATAGATTATTATGTAAAGTAGGTGTAACGTGTAGTGTGACGTGTGTGTAACGTTTGCTTAATGAACACAAGTGCATAAAATTTACATAAACTAATCACTTTCGATTAGCTGGTGAACATCCCACAAGCACGACAGCACATACTGCAGTATAAATGACAAAGTTTTCTTATTTTTCGTCATATGGCTAAGCTGAGACACTATAATACAATGACTCCTCCTTGAGCTTGAAAGGACGTAAAAGAAGTTAAAATCACTACATTAGATTTTTGTGGCTTATTGTATGTCTTTCTATATCGCCAAGTACTTTAATAGATCGTACTTAGCCTACAGCTTGTCTATTTTCCCAAAGACTTTTCGGCTCTAGTAAGTAATGACAGTACAAAAATTAAACTTGTCAGAAACGCTTTATTCTTGCCCAGTCCCCCGCGCAGCCTCCTTGCAGAATTTCTACATTTTTGGGGGAAAAAACTTTCGGTTAATTGATTGAAATATGTCAATTTCATGTCAACATGATCGCTAGAGTTTGGCAAAATTTCACATTTTCGACAGCAAACCCCCAAACAGCTTCATCTCAGACAATCAGGAGCAAAAATAATGAGACTTTTCACGTTTTTGGCCAGTTTAAAGTACGTCGGCCTCCCCCCTCCCCCCATGATCAATGTTGGAAAAAGCGGATTGAATTTTCTCTTTTCAGTCATCCACACAACAATGAATTGGGGGTGCGGGGGGCATTTATGCGTTTGTCTCAATAATTGTTGCTCCTGATTGTAGGTGTACACATCATGCTCACGCCATGACACTAATTGCTAGCTAACACGACCTTTTGCATTTTATTGCGGATTTTTTTGACCGAAATTTATGGATTAAACAATCAAGGGCATCATTTGTTGAATGTTTAAAGTTGTTGAAAGCACTTAATTATAAAGTTGCAGAAGGTGTTCTATAAGCATTTTTGAAAGCAATGACGTATTACCAAATGACGAATAATCACGCGAGCGACATTTGCCAGAAAGATGGCGACTATGGGACAACTTTTTTACTGAAGTTACACATCTGTCCATATTTAATCTATGCATATGTCAAGAGTATGCGTGCCGCCTGCGGCAGCAATTAGTTAACTAAATGACTTAATTGCGCTGCAAAAAACGTAGTTTGTCGGAAGATTAGCTAATCAAGTAGTTAACTTGCGTGGGGCTTACGTGGGGTGGTTAAACAGTAAAATTACATAAAGTAAAGAATGATTAACGACCGCTTACAAGCATTTTTAACATGATTGTTGACTCATATTTTGCAAATAGGCGGGAATGTTATTCAAAATAGTGAAATATAAACAAGAAACCAAGGAAAAATCAACGAAGAAGGTGGTTTTTACTTGAGATGTCTACGTTAAACCAAAGTGTAAGTGACTGGTAATTATATATCATGGATCTTTGTTTAACCACAGTTAATAGAAATAGGATTTCTATTTTTTTCCCTATTTTTATTAACTGTGGTTTAACACAGTAATGGTTGGCCCTACGTCGTCGTCGAAAAATCTTCCCGTGCAAAAATATATTTTGTTTTTGCCAAAAACCAAAGCATAGCGCTTGAAGAGTTCATATTGTCAGGAAACATTCACAGGGAAAATAGCGATTGAAAATCCCAGGTAAGCATTGCTTTTCATTATTGTTTTACTAAAAAATGTTGTTTCTTCCTATACAAAAGCGCCATTATTAACTACGTTTTGATAAGTTAACGATACCCTAAAGTTTCAATAACTTTAAGTACGTTTTAACTACAGTTAACGCTAACTACTTTTTTATACAACCGAGTAAACTACGTGGTTAAAGTTAATCACTATTTAACTACAAAATAGTGATTAAGAAAGTGATTAAGACTTTTATACAACCGGCCCCTGGCATATAAAAATTACTGCTGACGCCATAACTTCTGTTCATTTAGTTTATGGCGAAATTTGAAATGGACCACTCTACACGTGCTTATTCGATTACATATGCTACGTGCAAACAGGATGTGTTATCACAGAGTAGAAATTAGGGTAATAGAGTGCTATCACGGAATATGGAGACCTTACAGAAAGCCGACTCAGCCAAGAAAGCGTAACCGATGCCACGCCATGATTCGCAAGGACTCGTCATTAAAATGCACTCGCCATGTTCCTAGCCTGTGCGCATACGAGTGATATTTATCCCTCGGATCATCCGTTATTTTGAATATTTTCAGGCTATATTGATGCAAAATGAGCAACAAAATAGAAACAATTCATTGATTTAATCACAATTAAATCGGAATACAGTTCAACTCAAATCCGAAAACGTAATCGTGCATTTCTGGTTGTTCTCTTCTTGCCACGGGCATAAACTTGATATGCGGCTTTGAGGCCACTTTCCAAGGCACCTTGAATCCAACCAGCAGCAAATGATAAGGCTTCTCCAGCGAAATGTACGTTACCCATCGGTTCCCACAAGTATCTAAATGCAAAAAATATAAAAAAATGTAGATGCACACAAAATCCAATCTCTCATGCAATTACAGTTATTCGTTTAGTTTGTACATTAATATTACACCCGTTCTCAAAATTACAAGACCTACCCAAAAATAATCTTAAAAATGCTGTAAAGTCCGTTCTGCGCATATATTCTGCGCATCAACACATTTCATCAGTGGTGGAGCAACCTTTGGAATGTTGTTAATATTTCGTACCTTCCGAACATTCTTGAACTGAATCTCTAGTCTACATTCATATTTACAAGCATAGCGAACCGGAAGATTGTTAAAAATTCAGTATAATATATATCTAATCATATTTTACAATTGTAGCAATGAGTTCAAAATGTAAACAAAGCGTTTGTTTACATTATGGACTTTACATCACCTTTAAAATGTCTGTACAAGTGTTAGTTTTGTCACGGAAGTAATTGAGCGCGGTTTCTCAATGGCTGGAGATGAAAACGGAGCGCTTGGCGGCTTCATGTGAATGCAAACGCCGTTACTTTTTTGTACTGCTCAAAACAGTAAATTCAAATGCTTTTCGTTTAAATTTCTTTGCTCTATTTGAAATATTTTGGGTTTACATGCATGAGTGTTAATTTAATTTGTATAAACGAACTGCAACGGCATATAGTATCAGGCCACGCCTACATTCTTCCGACAGTATATATTTCGTTCCGGTGTAGTGCGCGAACGTAGTCTCAGCATGCATTACATAGAAATTGATTATTATAATATGTACATTATCAAGTTTTAGTACAATTACATAGGTGATTATTGAAAATTCTCCGCGCTGATTGGTTGCCGTTGAGCTGATTATAATGTTATAATCACCTAATCACCTAAGCGATTTTCGAAACGGCGGCCGAAGCCGTTTTGTCAATAAAATGACGAAGAAATGTGTATTTTTTATTTTTTCCAAATAATCACCTATGAAATTATACTAAAACAATTATTCACCTCAGGCTCGGTGATTATCGTGAATAAAAACCTCGACTTCGTCTCGGTTTTTATTCACCGATAATCACCTCGCCTTCGGTGAATAATTGTTAATTAAACAGGAAAAACAATTGGAATAACAGAAATAAATTGTTTCAACGGTTTAACGATACAATTTTTAAAAAATGGAAAATTCACGATTTAGATCCGTATTTTTGGACAATTATTACTTGTTGAAAAACAAAAAGTATCTTATTAATGTAAAATAACATCTAAAGGTCTCAATTTTTCACAAAAGGAGTGATAGCTTATACTTGTTAATAATGAATTATTTCAGTTGTCTTGGCAGTTTTTTTTTAAATTTTCAGCATAATCAGCAATATGATACCTTACTTCCCATCAAGCCCTGCGTGCATAAATTAAAAGCTGGAGTTGTCTCTTTAACTCGAAAACAACATCGAAGACCCCAAAATTTTATTCCATGAAATGATTTGTTTTAGTATACTCAATTATTTTGACACTTTAAACTATATAATTTTTTAAATTAAATTGTCAAAATAATTGAGTACAGTAAAATAAATTATCTTATGAAATAAAATCTGTGGGTCACCGATGTCGTTTACCAGTTACAGTTTTAAAGCTAAATTATCCGCTAGTTTGAAGCGTCATTTTTGCATACCAACGCAGTTGCGTAACTTTTGTGAAAAAATCTTTACGTTACATGTTGTGTTACATCAGTAACATACTTTTTTGTTTTTCAACATGTAGTTATTCTCCTACCCTGATTCCAGAGGTTCTTGTGCCGCCTTATTATAAATTACGTCTTTTGTATAAAGGAACGGCGGGAACCTCTGGTGGTACGCAATGTGAATCTCACTTCTATGCGGAGTTGCCGTTTGAGAACATGCACCAGTTTCATATTTTGTGACGTATTTAAACTTCCAGGTTTGTCTTACTACTAAAATAGCTCTCTTTGACTGCTTGACGTGTTTCGGTGTTTGGCAACCTTGTGTAAAGTTTAAAAAATAAGCAGGCCTATATTAAACAACTCCTTAAAACATGTAGATTATTCTCGCAACGTACAGCTGTTGAAGAATTAAATAGGAAAAGCAATCTCAATTGTTAAATTTGTGGAATGCCGTTTGTATTACTAGCAAACGTATATAAAATCTAAAAGCCAAAAGTGAAAGAATAATATTTATATCTATATAATGTACGTGCAACGGAGGATATGGTTGTCTTTAAAGGACAACTACGGTAAAATTTGGAAAAATAAATCGCATTAATAACTATTGAAGTCAAAGCCAAAACTTAAACCTTGAACGATCATAGTAAGCAACACTTTATATTTTTATTGAGTATAGACGTTGTCTGATCAAAATATTTATTTTTCACAATCTACCCGTTGAAGACTGTAGACTGACAGTCGAAAGCTTGCGAAAAATAAATATTTTAACCAGAGAACGTACGTCTATACTCAATATGAATAATCCTGGTTTCGCATCAAACATATTTAAACTTTATACTTTACAAATATAACATGCCATGTCGTCAACTCATGTTATCCGTCAACTAAAATCATGCCTTCAACTCAAATCCTGCCGCGATGGCAGTTCCTCTCTAGCGCAGAGAATCTTTTTAAACAGCGAGTTTATATCTCAGAAGTTCGTACCGGAACAAAATAAATTTATAAGTTCAGATAACCCACACTAAGTGAAGCATTTTAACAAGTTTAATACATATTTCTGTATAATTATAACTAACCAATCAATGTGCTTGGTACAAATTTTGTACCAAAGAGAGTGATATTTATATCGCGTGCCACCAGAGGTTCTTTTCGTCACGTGTGAAATAAATACGAGCGAGAAACGGCGGCACTATATGGACTTATTCTCTAGAACTATATGGATTTAAATCGTGCATTTTCCATCGTTAAAAACTATATCGAGCCACCTTAACACAAAAATGGTGATCATTTTAAAAGCTTCTTTTTTACAAGATATACCTCTTTCGAAGTAACCAACGAGAGACTATGGCATTTTATTAACATCAGATAATTTTGCTCTCCATGGGTCTTACCTGATATTTTTAAACTGAGAGGTCTTCAAAAGGCCATAAGCACCTTGATAAGAAGGCTTGTTATGCCAAGCATGGACAATACAAGCTTGAACCATATCTTTCTCCTTGATTTCCGGATGGATTTCTGAGAGTTGTCGAATTGCCTCCTGTTTGACTTGATCTTCTGTCAAGGAACCAAAAATCAGTGCTTCATTCTTCCAGGTGTAAATCAGAATTATTCCTTCTTTCGTGGACTGGATATATTCCGGATCCGGCATGACGTAATGTATTTGGCCGATTGGAAGATTGGTCTTAGAAAAGCCACCTCGGATATTGTACTTTTTGTCCTCCCAGAATCTTCTTTTGGTTTGCAAGATAATTTTGGTGGACGCTGCGGTGAAGATGTTTTCGATGGCTTGAATGTTTTTTTGTTGCGCATGCTTGTAGCATTTGTGGTCAAAAAGTGGTTCAAAAGTGATTTGTCGTAATATATTCACGGCTGTAGTAACAATAACAGCCTGTATTAAAGGAAACAAATCTCGTATTAAAAAATATGATGACACATTATATAGTAAATTTATATATATATATATATATATATATATATATATATATATATATATATATATATATATATATATATATATATATATATATATATATATATAGAGTGAGAGAGAGAGAATTGTATTTCCGTTGGTTGTCGACTTTAACCCCAGGCTTCCCGATATAGGAAAAATCCTGAAGAAAGATTCCAAGATTTATCAGAGTTACAAGAGATTTTTCCAACTAGATCTATAATACCATCTTTCAGAAGGCCAAAAACTATCAAAGAAATTCTTCTACGAAAAGACGGCAGGACACGAGCGGGGATCAAAGTCCAAAAGGGTGTTATAAATGTGGAAAGAAGTGTGACTTTTGCAACAACTACATGCATGAGTCTAGTACATTTGTCAGTAGTCAGACGGGGGTAAAGTACCCAATTAAAGCGAACATTTGTTGCAATTCTCAAAATGTTGTATACCTAGTCACATGTATTAAGTGCTCACGGCAATACATTGGATCCACGAGCACAGACAGGGCCGTCCTCAGGAAATTCTTCAGGGGGGGTGTAATAAGGTTAATTCAACCGACTGCGTCAAAAAAAATTTTCCGGATCAAAAAATTTTTCTCGACCTGAAGGTCCGCTTTCGTAACCACAAGTCCACGATGATTAACAATAAAAGGACATGTGAAGTAGCGACACATTTCAACAAAACACCGCATGATTTGTCGGACTTCAAGTTTATAGGCATAGAACAGATAGTTAATGACAGTGATTCAAACACTATTGAGAAGCGATTGTTGACAAGAGAATCATACTGGAGTGCGCAGTTATGCACTTTAAAACCTTACGGTCTCAATAAGAGATGTGAATTCAGGTCGAAGAACAGAATAAACTTTAGTAATTAGAAACAATTTAAATATTTCGCAATAATAGGCCTTATTTTTTTTCTTGCGGTCCGAAGTCATATTTCACGCTTTTCTGCAATCTGATTGGCTACGTGAGCGGTCCGTATGAGCCCGTACGGACCGCGCGAGATTTAAAGCCGTATAGAACCAATGTTTTTATTTTTCAAAATTTCAAGACGAGTTTAAAGGCTACTTTTTAAAACATTAAAATGTCTGCAGACGATGAAAAACACAGTGAAAACGAATTTTACTATCTCACAAAAGATATTTCTCTTCCCGATGGCATTGATAGAAACGACGTTTTATTTGGCAGCTTCATTCGCGTGCGGGAGGAGTGATTGGGGAAATCCAGAGGAATTAAAAAAAAATAAAAATATTATTTACCGGTATGGTCGGTCCGTATAGAGAAATATTTCCCTCGGTCTTAAAAACGTCCCTCGGCCTTCGGCCTCGGGCCGTTTTTAAGACCTCGAGAAATATTTCTCTATACGGACCTCCAATCCGGTAAATAACATATATATATATATTTTAACATCTCTAGAGTATACTCATTTAGTCCTGAATTAGTTCTTAATTATTCATAGGTTAGGTTATAAATCGCATGAGTTAACTTCCTTGTGTTTTCAACTTTTTACACTGATGAAGCCTGTTTTGGAGAAAAGTTTGTAATAAAACATTATTATTGATCTGTCTGGAGTGCGCATTCCTTCTGTATATATATATATATATATATATATATATATATATATATATATATATATATATATATATATATATATATATATATATATATATATATATATATGTATATATATTTATATATGTATATATATTTATATATATATATATTTATATATGTATATATATATATATATATATATATTATATAAACATAAGTGTTATATGGATTTTTTGGCCACTGAGAAAAATCGTATTTAAACACACGTAAAAAATACGATATTTTTACGTGTGAAAATATCATATGTTGTAAAACGCATTGCCACGGACGTTTTATTGTTTTTCACTGAATTTTGTTTATATAATAAACAGAAAAATACATGGGTGCTTGGAAATACCAGATTTATTTCTCGTGTTGAACATCTCACTCGTTCCCTGCGCTCACTCGTGAGATATCATGTTCGACACTCGAAATAAATCTGGTATTTCCAAGCACCCATGTATTATTCTCTATATAGCTCGCGATACGATGATGTGACGCTGATAAGTTTAATTATTGAATATTGGGCTAACTTTGGACGGTTTATATATTAGTTTATTCTATTTCAGTTAAAATGAGTTCATCTTACTGGATCTCAAATATTGAACTGGTAATCTGGTAATGTTAACTTTGGTGTCAATAGTTGGGGAACATGTTTTTTTTTTGTTCAGGAAAAGCTTAAGGATCGGAAAATGAGGGCAGATATACAGAAAGATATTGGACAACTGATTACAGACATATCCTCGTTCGAAAATCTTTTCACAGGTTAGCAAATGGTCACTTTTCCAATAATTTATATTTAAAGTAAAATTTCACAATTAAATCAATATAACCTATATTGATGATTTCATTCTCATTTTGAAACTTTTAACATAACGAATGAGTGGAAAGTGGCTCAGCCGTGAGTCAATTGACGAACAAAAGATGCCATACTTATTGGACGATTACATAACCAAAGTGGCAGCCGGCACCGAACTGTTTTTCAGTTGAAATATTTGGGTAACCAAACACGCTATAGAAAAGTTGCGAACTGATCATTATTTAAGAAAACATTTTCCGTGTTTCTATACGGTTGTAATAACTGATAACATCAAACATTTTTCATAACTCAAGAAGAACGGCTTCGGAAAAATCATATCAAGATATAACCGTTTAAATGTCTTATAATATGTAGTTTCTTGTAAGCTTTCTGAAGCTGCATGTAAATGAAACAAAATTAAAGAAAAACCTGTTGGCAGGAGCCCACAAGAAATTTGAATCATTCATTTTTGTTCCTCTCCCCGACTATCTTTTATTTTCTTTTACACAGGTGGCGACGTTACAATATCATTCCCAAAGCAAAGCGCTAGTACTTACATGATTGATAGGGGATCTCCTGAGATGGATTCGATTATGGCTTGTTTTTCGGGGAAATTAACATCACCGTCATCCTCGAGTCATATTATATCCTATGCAACAACGGCCGGTGATAATTCGTTCCTGATTTTCAGAACGAGCTCTAAGGGAGTACTTACTATGTTCAGTCAACATAAGTTAGTCTTTTTTCTTTGCTATATTATACTCTAAAGACAACACTTTGATTCAACGTTTCGACTTTATTTATGGTCACCATCAGGAATGATGACTAATGATAAAGTCGAAACGTTGAATAAAAAATGTTGTCTTTATTCGGAGTTACCGTTATTGTGTATTTCATGAAAATGGTTAGTGCTTCCCGCAGTTATTGGTCGCAACTCTTAAATAATTTTCATTGTTATAATGGGAAACGTGATTGGCTGATTTGCGGTCACGTGATTTTAGATAAATACAATGTATCCCACCAGACAAGTAAAACATTGTTTTCGGCCCCGACCGCCTACGTAGCGCGAACCGCCGGGTAACAAGTGAAAAAATGTTGCTCGCCCCAACTGGCTAAACGTACATAAATAAACAAAATGGCGGCACAACTCACAAGTTTATAAACTAGGATTTCCAAGTTTTTGTTAAAATAAATAACAGCAATTTTAAACTGGTTTACTAGAGTTCTTGTCATGAAATACAATTGTTCTATGAATGCCATTGACTTTTCTTGTATAACAAAACACTTGTCTGTTCCCTCGGGAAATACTCAGTTTTGTTCCCCCTCGATTTTTTTGTTGCCCCGACTTCGTCTCGGGAAACATTGAGGCTTTCGAGAAACAAAACTATGTCCCTCAACTCCTCATGCAAGAGCAGACATTCAGTGTATATTAATAAAAGATTTTCACCAAGTTTCCTGACAATGTCTTCATGATTGTACTCAGATTATTGGAATATATATTTACAGGTATTTTGATATAAACAAGTTGGGAATGAACGATGGGAAGTTGCATGGATATTGTTTCTACTGGGACGTTACTGGTATCGTCAATGTGTATAGAGATGGCAAAAAGGTTGAGAGCTCTACGGGTTCAAGAACGGACAAAGTGCCTGCGGGTGGGACGTGGGTGCTAGGGCAAGATCAAGATAGAGTCGCCGGCCGCTTTTCTCAAAGCCAAGCGTTCGTTGGAGAATTCAGGGATGTAAATATTTATGGCAATTTTGATAAAAACTATTTTAAAACAGTAGTTGGACCGGCTGTGAGTAATTTAAACACATGTAAGCTAAAATACAAAGGGAACATAATTAAATCATGGGATGAATTTAAAATGGGCTTCGTTGGGAATTATGCAACAATGGTCAAGAGTTCCTCTTGCTCAAATTGACACTTCAAGATGAATCTTTGTTATCGGCCATACTTGGCTACAATGTCAAACACTAATAATTGTTTTTGAAGTAGTAATTAAAACCAGTTTACAGTTACGAACGTAATCTGCCTCATTTCATGTTATTGCCCATAGACAGCCCAGCGAATATACGGTTATCTTCAAAATAAATGGTTGTAAAACATACATTCAAGAGTTAAGTTAAAAAATGTGTTTTCAGACTTTGCTATCGAGCGATTTATGGTCGCAGAATTTCAGGTTGCATGGTTACGTCATGATACATATGACATACAATGACGTAACCGTTTCTTCGAACCATTTATTTTGAGGATACCTGGATATTTGCGGGGCTACCAATAAAGTATACCTGTTTTTTATAAGTCAATTTTGCTCCCACCTCTCCCTGAACCATAGAGAAAAATGATAGTTTCGTTTTAGCCAGTCTCCAAATGCCCACGAAAGGACTTTGTGTTCTGCGTTTCCTGGTTCCCCACACAGATTTCAATAATAATAATAATCAGTGTGAATACGAGTATTGATGGTTGGAATATGAATATTAAGAGTGGGAATATAAATTTTTGAAACAAAAATTGGAATAAATATTCCCGCCATCCCCTCCCCCCCCCCATCTGTCGACAAGTTTATTGGGAATTTTTGAAGTAGGATATGAATTTTAGGGGTAGGACTATTAAATATTTAAGGACAAATATTCCTTTTCCACCCTCGAGAACGTACGGTGTGCCACGATTACGGTAATCTCCTTTCAACTTCCACCAGGCAGGGCCGTAAAAACAAAAGAAACCCGTCGGGTAGAACACGAATATATGAATATGCACCCCCCCCCCAATTATCGGTCTAACTACGCCTACGGTCCTGCCACCAGGAAGGCCATGTTTTCATCCACATTTGTGTGCGTTTGTCGGCACGATAATTTTAAAAATATCAAACGTACAATCACGAAAAGTTAAATTTTGGTGAACTTTGAATGAAAATTGAATGTGAAATTAGCAAAAGCTTGTTTTGCTTTGCCAAGCGAACTGAATGGGTAATTACCATGCATATTTTATGCATATTCATAAGTTATGCATGATTCATAATTTAATTCGCTGGTGGAGAGTATGCAGTTTTCTAAACACTCCATGCAGTTGTTTATATTTTAGGCTGAATGCACCTTCAATGAGGGGGGCCAACACAATTCATTGTGGGGGTCAAAATTGGAGCAGCGGAGACTCCCCCAAGTTTATAGGTTAAAAGACACCCTGTGATTTATATTATGGCCTTCGAGCATGCGCAAGAGCCTGCCAACCCGGACTGTGTTTAAATGCACACCTCAGAACACATCTTCCATATTTGCCAGACTTATACTGTAGACGGAAGATCCGTCTAGTCGTATTTGGGCAAGCAGAAAGATAATTCATCACTGGTATACTGATTACGAGTTAAGAACCCGAATCTGTAACAATTTTTGAAGTGCAAACTTAAAAAACGTTATGCCAGATAGTTTGTAAAGATATGATGGGCAGGAAGCCCGTCAGTCTTCATAGCTACAAAATAGAAAACCTTTGTTTGATGTTGAACTGTATACCTCACCATGCACAAATCCTTTGTCTCAACTTCATTAAATATTATTCATCGTGGTTGCACGTTTCATCTCAGCTATCCCTATTGGACGGTTACTTCATTATACGAAAATACAATGAGCTCAATCACCGTGACCGTGCACAAATTAACATAAACTCCGACAAAACATAACACAATGATGACTTCTGTTTAGTTTTCAGACCGTCATATCTTGATAGACTATGGTTATGCCAACAGCAATTACACCAAAATTCGTGTACACAAATATCTTGTATTTATTGATGATTATTAACAACTAAATTATTCATTATCTAAAACACACAAAATACACACTTAAACTGATACAGTATATGTAGTTCGTTCGTAGAGATTTTTGGGTAAATTCACCCACAATTCTAACTATTCAGGCGGCAAAGTCGAACAAGGTCATTCAAGGACATGCAATATATTCAGTGTGCAAAAATTCTACGAATCTATAGTGTGTAAAACAAGAATACGATTGAGACGAGTTATTCCAAAGAAATTTACAATCTTATCAAAATATTTAGACAGACTACGCTTAAGTTAGCTCGTCAGCATCAGCAAGAGGAACGGTCTCGATGTCTTTATGACGATGTTTCTGAGAAGGTCCAACCATTTCAACTGTTCAAAAAGAGAAATACATAAGTATCGGTAATCATACTGGAAGAAGTGCAATTGACGATTAACACCATGGACTGATTTTTGAAAAACGTGCCAAAATTACACGAGCCGAATTTATTATATAATGAAAAAATATAGCTCCCCCCCCCTGCCCCCCGTATTGATGTCACGGGAATGCAGAGAACATATTTTACAGTTGAAATAAACAAGATCTGGATCAGATCTAAACTATGTCGAAGAAATAACTATAAACTCTTTCCTAATAGTAAATGGTTTAATATTAATATTAAGTTCAACTATTTATTCAAAATGTCCAAGCGAAACGGCGATATAAATCGAATCGCGCGCAAGTTCTTGATTTGTCCACAAACAATTGTTCAAGCTCAAGCCCAAGCAAGAGAGTTTTAGGTCTGTTTTATATACGTCGAATTTGCATTCGGACGCGACCGAAATTCGACGTACAAAACAGGCCTTAGGTCAGTGTTTTTTGCCCGGGTATAGCTTCAACCGGGCTGATTCAACTCATCCCGGGTTGAAATTTCTGTCATGTAATCGTTTGCTGTGTTTTAATAGATTTTATTCTTATAGGCTGCGCTGAAATTTCAGCCCGGGAAAGATGAAACTCAGCCCGGGCTGAAAACTCCCCATGCAATCAGCCCTAACAATGGTGTATACATACATGCATAACTTACCTTCTGGAGACTCTACATAGCGAACACTATCATCATCGTGGTTATATTGGAAATTATTATCAAATTTATTGTAGAGACCTTTGCGACGGTATCGGAAGAACATCATTGCTACCACCACTAAGAGAACGAGAACTAAAACAAAAGAAAAAAAAAGTGAATTGAATGGGATAACATTAAAAAAACCCCAACAAAAAACCCTAAAAAAATCCCCATTATTACAATATTTTTAAAAAAACATTTTTTTCTGCGAAACAATTATTTAAATGAATGGTTTTCTTTAGTCATAAAGGCGAATTCATGCACTCAAAAACTGGCAGCCCATGAGCATATATATGCAACAAACGCGATACTTACTGACAGCGGCACACACCAGGCCCACAATCAAAGCCATATTAGTTGACCCTCCAGACCCTCGCGAACTGGCGGCTGGCTCACCAGCATTAGTCGTTCCAAATCTAAGAGAAATGATTGTTCAATTAGTGTAACTTCATAACGGGGTGACGCCGACACTGTAAGTGTAAATGGCATGACCCGTACTGGGCCTTTAGAAAGAAGAGTTTAGAACTTATAGAGTTATGAGTAAAGTTAGTTTAGTCTATAGCTTTTGTCCTGTAGTAACACTGTACTAATATTAACTGACTATCCTTACTGGACCTCTAGGAAGAAAATTTAAGAACTAGTAGACCCAGGGTTTGCCAACCCTGCTAAATATTTTATATGGCTAATATTTTATATCACACTTACGAGACAGCGTTAGCTTTGGTACTGGCGCCCAACACTTTAAAAGAAGGCTGAAGTTTAGCCTTCACAATGTTCATCTCTGCATTGATATCGGTGGATGTTGAACCTGAACAAAAAACAATTATTAGAAGATAAAGACAGGGCCGTCTCCACCCTCTATTTAGCTCCATTCTTCTAATAATGAAATAATTCTCAATATTTTAATCATGGGCTACACAGTCCGCCATCTTCACTAACGCCAAGCACAAGTACTCGGCTATTGGTAAACATTTTTCGTGCAGTACATGGTAACAAAGATTCGCTTAAGGCTAGTTACCCTTCTGACCGTCTTGTTCTGTATGCTGTCAAATTTGATTACAAGTCAAATTTGAATGCTCAGACGGACTCAAGCCAAGTTCTTTGCATGTTTCATGCTGTCTTATAAACAACAGAGACCATATCAAATTCTCGGAAATTATTTTGGGGAGGGGTTACCCTCTCCCTCTCATATTTTGTATCCTACTCATTATAAATTATTAATGAGTTTAAAAACTTACCATGAAGCTCTTCTTTGCTTATCAATACAAACATAACAGCATTTTCTTCTGTGTTCAAACGTACATCTGCAATACGCACGCTAGATTTGAGATAAAACAAAAAACATATCTTAAATTGTGATTATCACCTCATGAAAATTCTCGGCAATAATTAACTGGTTTCAGACTAAAAGAATGTTTCTCGTTCTAACAAGTAGTATCGGGTTACTGAACAAATACTTTTCAGAAACCTGTAGTTTATGTATTTCATTTTAAAGACTACACCCGCAAAAGTCTCGCATCTTGTAGCAAGTCTGCCAACAAGTTGTCTTCGCACTGCTTGTTTCACGTTGTCAACAAGTTTGGAAAAAACTGTTAACAACTTGTAACAACCTTGTTGATATTATCAGACTTGTTGCAAGGTTGTTCCAACAAGTCCGATAGAGTCATGATATAACAGTATTGTTACAACCTTGTGTCATCAACCTTGTAACATTCTTGTTTTCTCATGACTGTATCAGACTTGTTAGAACAACCTTGTATAACAAGTCTGATAATGCCATCAAGCTTGTTACAAGTTGTTCCCTGGGAACAAGCAGTGCGAACACAACTTGTCGACAGCTTGTGAACAGATTAGTAACAACTTGTTTGCAGACCTGTAACAACTTGTGTGTTTTTACGTGTGTAAACTTCGAGTCTTAAAAAACGTACAAGGCAATAAAATTGGACTACCAAAATGAGGTTACTTAGGTACGACTAAAAATCTAGAATTGTCGCATCCTGGAATCAGGACTTACTTTTTAATGTCAGCAACCTTTGCTACTGCGTCAATAAAGCTCTTTCTAAAATTCGTATTCTGAGCCAGTGACTCGACGCGGACGCTTTCTTCAAACGGGATTGTTATTGACTGACTGCCGTACGGATCTGAATTGTGTAATATCATAATCAATGTTCAGTTGTAGTGAATAAATATAGATATACAAATAAAAAAATTAAGAAATTAATTTAGTACTAGTGCATGTATCCTTTTTTCACTGTATTTCATTTTTTGGCACTGTATTTCAAAAAAATTGCACTGCTCTTAGGCAATCAAAATTGACAATTTTTTTCATGCATATTATTACTTGAGTATATTATAAAAAATACGGTTAGTCGATCTAACTTTTAACTACTTAACTAATCTATATATCAGGTAATGCTTTTACTTACAATATTTCGTCTTGAAAACTTGAATGCGCGGATTACCAATGCCAACTTTTGTATGAGCCTGAACTTGGAAAGTGTACATTGTTTCTTCTTTTAAATGATCGATTTGTAACCATCGTTGTTGTCCCGTAGAAACAGTCTGTTTATTCCTCAACTGGATGAACCACGTTACCTGAAAAAAGACTTAACAGTTATTGTGCGTGCTCGAGTCATATCTAAGCAGTGGCGCCGTGGCCGGGAGGGGGCAGCCCCCCCCCCCCTATTGTTGAGACCCGTCGGAAAATTGTCACTGTGTCGGAATCTTCATGCTGAAGCATCGAAACAAGTGCTACGAAAATCGGGAAAAGTGCTACGAAAGCAAATGCAATGTTATTGTCCGGAGAAATTTTTACCCACAAAGTTGTCGACAGGGGGGATTTGAAATGTTGTCGTCCGGAAAATTTTTTTCGGTTTGTTGGAAAAAAATTTCGGTTTGTCGGAAAAGTACTGCCCTTGCCCCCCCCCCCCCTAAAACATGGGGCCCACGGCGCCACTGTATCTAAGCCGCCAAGGTGGACTCGATCACTTACCCCAACCCTGTCCGATAAGGACTGTGCCTCAGACCCTGTTGCAGCTCATTCGTAGGCCCCCCCCCCCCCCCCCCCCCCAGAGTAAAATCTGAAAATCCGTCAATGGTTATTTACTCACCGTGTATTGAGTTATTACGCCATTTGGATCTCTGGGTGGATCCCAAGAGACATTGACTGATGACGACCCGGGCCATAGACCTGTCACGCTAATCGCTGAAGGCTTGCCTGGTTCTGAGAGAAATAAAATATTGAAATATATTAACTACGTTTTTCACTCGACTTTGCAATGCCAATGAGTGATTCCAGCTATGAACTACATTTTGATCTAGGCAAGAGCCAAGAAGAAAGAAATCCATCACCACAGCTAGAAAGAGCATGTTAAAGTTAGTAAAATTACAAAGTTTGGTTGCGAAATGTTGTAAAATACGGAAAATATAGCCTTGCAAATGTTTGCAAATTTTGTATACTTTTGTATTGCGTGCGGAAAGTTTGACTCATTTTAGTATTCTCTTTCCGGGAATATACTTTTTTGCCAAGATTAGTCTATATAATGTGAATATTATATTGTTTATTATGTACTTACTGTCCTCTTTGGTGATGAACGTAGCATTTTCACTTTTCCCGCTTTCATAGTGTGTGTTTTTAGCCGTAACGGCAAACGTATACTTTGTGAATGGGGCAAGGTTCTTCACTTGTCCTCTCGTTGTTTTGAATGACCACCAAGGTTTGCCAATTGTGAGAGGCGAAAGCTATAATAATAGAACAATAATTGATTTATTTATTTAAAAACTCGAACTTGGAAGCCAATACTGATTGACAATAGAATGTATTGGAGCAATCTGTTATCTGTGACCTTCACGTGTTATCTGTGACCTTCACGTGTTATCTGTGACCTTCACGTGTTATCTGTGACCTTCACGTGTTATCTGTGACCTTCACGTGTTATCTGTGACTTCACAGCTTTTCTTTGTCTTGTGATTTCTCGGGTGGGATTAATTAAAAAAGACAAAGAGAAATTTCGCTTCGCGCGAAAAATTCCGCCTAGTGGAAAACGGCCTTTAAGCAGATTGATTAAAGGATTAGTGTCACACCGGGAATTCGCGGGCTCAAACTCCTGCTGGCGGCCATTTTTCGGGACGAATAGATTAGATGATCTGGAAAGTGTTTACAATCCGTCATATATTTAAACCATCCTTTTATAATACTTGCTCTTTTTGTGTGATTTTTATCAGAAATGTACCAAACAAGGTATTTTTATCGCTATTTGTTGTATTTAAGTAAAATGTAAACAATAACAAAAGCCGGCAATGCATGACCCTGACACTAATCCTTTAACGTTAGATTCCAATGTTTATTCACCAATCAGATTAGTATAAGTCACAGAATTTTGCACCGTTGTTACAGATTTTCGGCTGGAAAAAATAGTGAAATCCATACCATGAAATTTGTAATTGCATATTAAATCCATGGTATGTATAATCCATACTATTGTATTTCCATACTATATCCACAGTGTGGAAACTGTAATTAGTATGAAAATTGGATTTCCATGCTGTTTTCATAATAAGGATTGTGAAAAAAAAATTCTAGTGTTTTGCACTGTTGTTACAGATTTTTGAACGGCTGTTTGGGATGGGATTAACGGCACTGAAATCAATCAATCAATCACAGTCGAGTAACATTTTTATGTGTATTATTTATATTAACAGTAAAAACAAAGGGTTAGGACAAACCTGATACAATGCGTAGGTAGTAATTTTATCATCTGGTCCTGCAGACGACCAAGTGAACGTTGCTTCACGCGCAGTGATTGCTGTCGTTTTCAAATTGATCGGAACAGCAGGAGCTGTAAAAAAGAACGGTCATTTTAGCGTACACTTGGGAGGTGCATGGTGCCTCTCGCGCAATTTGATTGGTTGTCCAGCTCCGGATATCTCGGAATTGGGTCTAAAGTATGTATACAATTTTCGCCCGAAATTGCCATCATATTTCTGTGATAATCATGGCAGCAGATTTGATTCTATTTTTTATGAAGGTAGCCAACCTTTGAATGAATCAATCCTGCGCAGTCATTACTTCCATGGAAACGTAGGGACCGGTCATTATGTATGGCGAGGGGGCGTGGCACCGAAGAGAAAAGGGTTGGGTAAACAAAAGTTTGAGTGAGTAAAAGGTTGGGTAAATGAAAAACAAAACAACACAAGGGTTGGGTAATAAAAATTGATTGTCATTTCCAGAGCATGACTCACTGTAATATTGAAGACTAAAAAGCAATGTCAACAGTCATATGTCAATACAATATGTAAATCAATCAATCAGAGTCACTATCTTGGTCATTTTCCGATTTATCAGGAGGCAAATGGTGTCTCCAAAGAAAGTACATGTGCAGCCAACATGAAATTTTACACTGCACAAAATTGCACAAGCAGTTATCAAACTCATGTCACAGAAGTGGTAAAGGACATGTGCGACAATTGAATGGTATCCTATGGAAAGTTTTTGGCCAGGGGGGTGGGTAAGACCTTCAGTCATTTGGTCTATGAAAAAAGTGAAGCCATTCTTGGCGGCCGTTGACGTGCAAAAGCTCTGAAGGTCGTAAACAGCGTTTATACTATTTTCTCAGCTAATTCCAAAACCACAGTGTTATAGTTCTTTACAAAATGCGTAATTTCGGCACACTCCATGCCAAGATGGCGGAAATTGAAAGAGTTATTAGACGTCAGTTCCATGCAGTCTCTCTCTCTATTGTTTTTTTTTGTCTCCGCGGTTAACACGAAGCTGGCTTCACTTCACGAGTTCTCGCTCCAGTATCTATTTTTGGTTCTAGTAATTCTTCAATTAGTGTTGAAAAAAAGGCTTCAAATAAAAGATTCCAATATACCGAAACTATTTCATCTTGGAGCCACATACATGACCTATGTAATAGTATGAACACAGTAATCAAGTACAGACTACTAACATCATCACATTAAATAAAGTTCACTAACTAACCGCAAAATATTGTGAGGTCAGCCCCCCAAACGAGGCACAACATTTTTCACAGGGGAGCTCAACCCCCTGAGCTTCTAACAAGTGGGGCTGAGCCCCCCTGAGCCTCCCCTATTCTACACTGCTGTCTCAGTGGTGTCGTACTCACCTTCCATTGGTGTGGTGAACGAAAAGTTGGCCATTGGTCCTTCTTCGTTGGCTACAGCCGCGATACCCACATCGTATTTAGTGTCAGAGTGAAGTCCAGTGAACGTATATCGATTTTCTGATGCCGTGCCAACCTTGGTCATTTTCCCAGCTGTTTTCATATACATATTATAACTCTAAGAGAAAAAACCCAAAGGTTTTAACGGATATTGGCAGCAAAAATTTACTTTCTCTTATTTGAAAGAATTAAAAATAATTACCGTCACGTCATTGTATTTTTTTTATTAACTTTACAATCGCGTATGGTCAGAACAACAGAACATAAGTTCCTAATTAAGTCCAACTAAAGTATTATATTATTACAATGTTAAATATACATATTAAAAAAACACTTAAATATTAATTATTAACAATTATATAGGAATAGACCTTATGCATAATGACGTCACAAGGCTTGATGCCCGCGAGGAATGCTGGTTTTAGTAGTCATCGCATCAACAATTGAAAATGGCCACTATCGAAATTTTCCTGCGCAATGACTACTAATACCAGCACTCCTCGCGGGCATCATGCCTTGTGACGTCATTATGCATAAGGTCTATTGCATTTATGAACAACAGTTGGACTGTAAAAAAACGACATGAGGTCTATTACATGCACTTACCTTCGGCGAAAAATAAATTTTAGAACCTTTCCTTATTAATGGAGCCGTCCAAGTCAGCTGAGCTGATGTAGCTGTCACTTTCGTGGCAACAATTCCTGTGGGAGGGAGGGTGGGTTCTGAAGAACAACAAAAATAGAATCAAGGTTGAGTTATATAGAAATTTATAATATAGCATTTGTAAATTCTGAACGCTGATTGGCTAAGAGCCGTGTTGATATAACTCATTAGAGACCTCACGATTTTAGGACGGCAACGCGACGGGACATCGTAGCTTTACTGCACGATATCGTAGCACCACTATATGATATCTTAGTTTTATCAATTTACTGATGTCGGGTTTTACTAAAGGGAGCCTTGTGTAAGCAATGGACACTCAACTGCTAATGACGTTTTCAAACATTTTTTAAAAACCAGAACCCATTAGCAAGCTTCAAAATGTCCCTTTCATTGAACTGAATTTTTCTATTGTTTTATTATCTATATGTGCATATACTAGCCTGAAAACAGACCTACGTTTCGCCCGCCCTAAAACTCGCGGTCGCCCTTCGTCGACCAGCGAATTTTAGGGCGGGCGAAACGTAGGTCTGTTTTCAGGCTATGCATATACTTACTATCAACACCGGTCCTTGCCGACCTCGCTTCAGAATAAACACCAACGTGATCCTTATTCATAGCTGCAACCTGAAGTATAAGAAAAAATATTTGACATTACCAACGATGGAAAAGTATCGGACCACGGGACCATATATCCCTACATATATACACAGATACACATATCCTATCCCTATATCCACATATACGCATTTATAATATAGTTATCCACCGGACATGAGCTGTACTGCAATCTGATTGGTTGAATTACTCGCCATATATCACACGAGTTTTGCGAAGCAGAAAAAAGGGAAATATTCGCATTGAGAAAGATAATAATAGTACAAGAAAAAACTCTCAAAAATTAGCAAAATACATTTTTAAATACAAGTTTTTTACACAATTGATACCGAAACAACAGCGAAAAAAAATGTTCATTGAGAATATAAATTGTTCAGAAAAGTTTGCAACGAAAAACAAATTAGTTTGCAGTCAACAACTAAGCACTTACCAAATATCTGTTTAATATACTACCAAATATCTGTTTAATATATCTGAGCTTTTCTGTGAGATTATCTTATATACACATACATACATATTATCCACTCACCTCAAACATATAATCTACATCAGCATCGAGTTTATCGAAGACTTTCGTGGTAATCGTTGGGTCAGAAATTATCGTCCCGCTTGGTGGAGTTTGACCGGATTTGTAAAATTTGTACTGAAAGAAATTACATCTACATTAGACAATTATTTTATCATATGGTTAATGGGTTGGCGAACAAAAATACCAGAACAGTAGACCAGAGACGTGGATAGAAACTACTGTGTTTACGAGGCAATTTTTCCCAGAAAATTTTTTGAGTTCCCAGAAATATCTCAAGAAATAACTAATGGAGAAGTTCAGGGGGAAAATTCAAACCAAGAGAATGTTACCTGCACTGTAAGAATGACCTCAGAAATGGAATTGCATCAAAGTGTATAAACTGTACAGAATGATGTAATGTTGTATGGCAAATGCATTTTTAACCAATTTGGGGCACCTGATGTTCAAAATGTCCAGAGACCGGTTGTTCAAAGGTGGGTTAGCGCTAACCCTGGGTTAAAATTTAACCTGCTGTTTTAGTTTGTGTATTTCTGCACGTCTGTTTATTTCAAAACTTCAGAGAAGTAAACTCCTATCGATCCAGACAAAATCTCTGAAGAAACATTTCCAAATTTTTAGACAAGCTGTCATGAAGTTTGCTTTGAATTTTAGGTTAACCTAGGGTTAAGCTAACCCAGCTTTGAACAACCGGCCACTGGGGAGAATGGATCCCTGTGATAGTGCAGCCCCCCCCGAAATGCCGTTTTCTGGCATCTGTGTTTACTCTTAGATCAGATTCCCCAGATCGCAAATGCGCCCTTCATCCCCCCCCCCTCCTCCAGAGCAAAATCCGAAAAAGTATTGGCATTCCAGATTCATGAGAACTACCACAACTTACCGCGTAACCAATAAGCTTGCCGTTCGGTAATAATGGCGGCATCCAAGAGGCTTCCAATTTCACTTGCCCTTCATTAGCAAGCTTCACTTTCTGTGGAACCCCAGGCTCTACAGAGCAAAACACATGAATTTAATCTCTGCAGTTATTGTCTTCAGCCAGTCTGACAATTTAGTCCCGCTATGCAAATTCAAAATTATTCAAATCATTATTCATTTCTTTACAAATTGATTGTTTTCACAGTCAATAAACACGAAAATATTTGCATAGCGGGACTAAATCGTCGGGTTGGTAGACTGCGAACAGGCTCTTTGAATTGAATTAGATTAAAAAAACCTGTTCGCAGGCTATCTGGCTGGCTACGCTACCGAACATGCGTGCAATTTTTCATTAAAGCCGTATAATAAACGAGCAAGTTTAGTCTAGGACATGTTTTATTTGCTCGTCTGTATATAGTCACTAAATCACATGGTCGAATCTGGAGGGGAGGTAATCGATATATAAGTTTTCCCGAATTTCTCGGCGCTTATTTTTGTATTTTGACGACATTTTGTAATGTTTTTTAACGTTTAGCTGTCCCGCCTGAACCAATCTCGTACCCAGAGTATGCCCAGCACCTAACCTGCGAACGGGCATACTCTGGGTACGAGATTGCGCCTTGGCGGGTAACTTGCCTTGCCGGGTGACTCGCCTCCATATAAACAGGCCCTAAACGTTCAAACATTTTGACAAAATAATTGCCGTTCCAAGGTCATGTAAAAATCGCAGTATGCTCAAAACTTTAATTCGATGTTGCGACTTACTTCCACTAGGAATTTGTATTCTCTTTGTGTCAGACTCGGGACCATATCCATCCTTCAAAGCGGTGTCTACTTTGACCGAGTACCATGTGTAATACGTGACATTTCTAATCTCACATTTTGTGTTCTTTGTACTGCAGTCTTTCGCCTCTTGGAAAGATTGCTCACTCGCAGTTCTGAAATGAACAGCACGATATTAAGACAACAAATAAATTTAATTACTATACATTGTAGTTGGTAAACGCAATTTGATTGGCTAAGAGTTTACAGTTAAATCGCGCATGAACAGACAGACAAACATGATAATATCCTACCTGTAAAACACCCTATATCGGAGTATACTTGGCTCTTTAACTTCGTCCCACTTAACCGTCAAAATTGGATCATCGAATGACAACTTCAGATTTTTCGGTTTCAAATCTAAAACACAACGTACAATAATTTATAGGTTTGATCAGCTGAAGATCAATACTTGTGTTTCCTTCTTTAGTATTCAATACTGTACCTTGTGTGACCATTACGGGCAGTCGCAACGTAATATTACTTATGCCATTAGAGACAGTCAAATGGACGAGTTTCCTAAATAAGAAACACAGAAATTAATCTGAGCATGCATTATATTGATTATAAGAACTTGTCAGGAAGCTAAGGTAAAACACCAAACGCGATTGGCCGATTTGTGGTCACGTGGAAACAAGTGAAAATTGTTGCTCGACCGGCTACGCACATAAATAAACAAAATGGCAGCTCAACTCGCAAATTTATAAACAACGATTTTCCAAGTTTGTGTTAAAATAAAGAATGCAAAAGAGAAGAGAAATACACAATAAGAAGCAGGATCTGCCGCGGTTTAAGTAGGTCTTTTTAATGGACCATTTGCATTATAGACTAAATTTTGATCTAGACAAAAATTTCATCACAGCTTGAAAGAGCATCACAAAATTAGTAATATTCCAAAGTTTCGTTGCGAAATGTTGTAAAATGCGGATAATATAGCCATGTGAAGTTTGCCGTTTTTCAGTCATCATTTTGTATACGCACGGGA